TGCATATGTGTCGGTATGCCTTTATTCATGTGTGTGTGTGTTTTTGTTTTGGTGTGTGTGTGTGTGTGCCTGCGTACGCCTGTCTGTCTGTCTGTCTGTCTGTCTGTCTGTCTGTCTGTCTGGCTGCATGCATGACCCTTGTCGGACATAGGCGAAGGGCAGCACTCATGCTAGCCTGCAGGTCAAGCATGCTCTAGTGCAGCTGGGGAGCAGCTCTTCCGTTGCAGGGGAAGCCCCCTCAAATGATGCTTATGATGCCGGCCGAACGGTCGGGCTTTGCCTGCTGTTGTTGGGTGCTCTACAGCAGCAGGCAGGTGATGCTCGGTCATCCACCACGCTGCTGCTGCGCCTTCCGGCTTTGCTCGGTGCCGCAGAAAGAGGCCTGCGTGATGCTGGGTGGCGGGCCAGCACAGCACACTCATTTGCGTGCTCTCGCTGAAAGGAACGATACGCGATGTCCACTTATTGGCCGGGCTGGTGATGATATGCTTGTGCTTTGGCAAAGCCTGTCCAAACGATGCTGCCGGCCGACTGATGATGTTGTGCTGCCGGCCCTGCCACGTAAGAGCATTGAGCAGCTGATGCTCGTGATGCTCAGAGTGGGTACGGCTTAGGATGATGGTCGAAGGGACGGTGCTGCTTTGCTGACTGGTCGCCCTGGAAGGGGCTTTAGGGCCGTAGGCCTCCCAGCTGAGGCCTCGACGAGTGTTTCTGGGGCGGCAGGCATTCCGGGAGCGGACTACACAGCAGAGTGACTGCAGCGGCTAGTAGAGCTCATCGCAGGCTCCATGTTGCCTTCTCTTCTGATTCTGAATCCTTCTGTCCGTTTGTATGTTTGTGAGAGAGCGAGAGAGAGAGAGAGAGAGAGAGAGAGAGAGAGAGAGAAAGAGAGAGAGAGAGAGAGTGTGTGTGTGTGTGTGTGCGTGCGCCCACCGCAGGTGTTTACTGATAGACGCGACCGAGTAATCATTGAGGTGAAGCCTTCGAACATGCCGCGATTCGCCCCTGCCTCCACCCCCCCACTCACACAGACACGCGCCCACCTCCCCAACCACAACAACTCCCATCCCACAACAGTGGTTGTAACTTACATGGCCCAAGAAACATCTCGACCCACCCCGTGTGAAGCCTCACAGTGTGGAGGAGGCAATACTCTCGGGTCATGCCAGGTTGCTGGTGGGCGCAGCACGGACAAGAAGCGGCAGAGTGGTGAGAAGGCCAAGAAACCCAGGGAGATCTGAATCTGAGGCTTCTCTCTGCTTTAATATTCACACGAGGGGAAACTTTTTCCTTGATACTTGCGACTTTATGCGAGCCGAGGCGCTCCAGTTCTCGTTGCTTGTGGCGGTACAAGTTACATGGAGTATCATCAGTACAGCAGGCATAACTTTGAGTGCTGTACCTCCAGCTTTGCAAAGAACGGTGGTTGGCCCAGTGAGCCCGGCATCGCGGCCTGACCATGGTTTCCAAGCTGGAGAATTGTAGCCGCATGTGGTCTGCGCAGACCTCGAAGATTCTCGAGGGTCGTGATTGTTGGCTTCTAGACTCTAGACTCGTTTGCAGCCAAGTTCCTGTCGTTTGTTGCATTCTTATCCGGTTGAAGTCGTTCGCAGCCAAGTTCCTGTCGTTTGTTGCATTCTTATCTGGTTGAAGTCGTTCGAATGATAGCTGCCATCAGACATGCGCCAGTGCTTCTTCCACCGCTACGACCTCTCCCAGCGCGCTGTGCTCGGCCCTACCACGCTGGAGCTGGGCCCTCTGACTCTGCGGGAAGAGGGTGTACCATCCCTAAACCCTAAACCTACCCCCTAAACCCATCTAAACCCCAAACCCCTCAACCCTAAATGGTTTCGATGCACGCAGCTGGACAGCTGGACCTGTGCTGCCGTGCTGACTGCTGACAGTGTCTTCTTTGTTTTTTTTGTGGCCTTCGTCCGTGAGGTGTTCAGTGTTGAGTCGTCCTGTGTCTTTCCCGGCTCACAAGCCGAACTCACCCTGTGCTTCTTCCTCTTCGATTCAGCACTCGAGTAGTGGGAACCCCTGCAGCATGGTACCCAAGCATGCTACAACTTGATGGGATCTTCGGAGTTGCAAAGCGAGAGAGAGTTACAATGAACGAGAAGAATCAGAACCAAGATTGCAACACGATCCAACGATGAACCACTAGCATTTTCACCTCATCCCCGCAAAGCCTCAATCTCGTCTCAGCAACGAGCTGGCCTTCATCATGGCAAACTGCGCTGGTGTCCGGTCAGGATCTCAGCGCGTGGGGGAGCAAGCGCAGTTTCCAGGGGGCATAACTCGGGGCGGAGTCCCGGGGCGGGGCGATGAAAAGTCGTGAAGATGCGGAAATACTGTACCCAGTGGCCGTATGATGGTTTACAAATCCAGTCACGGAAGTCTGCCGCAGCTTGAGCACCAATAACGCTCCGTTAAGCAATCCTTGCCCCCAACATTCAGTCCTTCCCCAGCAACATGGATACGGGCAGGCAATATTCAGAAGCAAAAGTAGCATAAGGGGTCCCGGGTGTAAGAGCCGAGGATTAAGTTCGGGCTGGGCCCGGGCCCCAAACTGGGATGAGGCGCCTACGCAGCCCAACGGGCCATCGCCAGACACGCCCAAGATTCAATTAGTCAGCTAGCGTCAGAAACGAATGGATTGAACACTGCCGCAATCACCGACGTTGCAGTACTGTTGCGAGTGCCGGGTGAGCTTTTTGAAAAGATTACATGAGCAGGTTGTCCTGACTTTCATTACAGGGTTCGTGATCAAGAGGTCATTGTAACAGCGGGCGATGTGCAGCAACTTCCGCCTGCAAATCACAAGGTCAGTAGGTTCAAGGGTGGTAAATGAACTAGCGAAGTAAGCATGAGGACCCTATATAAGCCCTAAGCCCTAAACCCCCTAAATCCTAAACCCTATACGCCCTACACCCTAAACCGTAAAGCCGACTTCTTTCTCCAGGCCCCAGCAGCTAGGCATGGACCCTTTCTGCGGGCCGGGCCCTTGGGTTTACCCTCGTCTGCAGAACCTTGGGGTCCAGGAGCCTGCAGTAATTGTAGATTTAGGGTTTAGGGTTGTTTTAGGGTTTTGCAGCAGTTCAGGGCCTTTGGGCCTGATTCTGCTTCAGTCGTTCTGACCGCAACGTAGCTTCTGTAGCTCCTGGACGTTGCAGGGCCGTAACTTGCATCGAAGGGGCATTGCTGCAGGTTAGTACTGCGCCCCAGTCTAATCCCGAGCCTCCAGCGACTTCATGGTTGCTGCTTATACCCCATGGTTTCGTTTTCCATCCATATCGCCTTGCCCAAACTTGTTCCAAAACAACAATCCTACGAATCCCTTGATCGTTTCCAGGGTCCGGACAGAACATGCAGCGCGATTCGAAATGTGCTCCAAACTCAGAAAGTTCCGCGGAAGGACAGGGGGTCTTCTCATCGCCATGGCTCATTTCGGAGCGCCGGGCGCACAGACCGATGGGGCCTTTTAAGCGAGGGGTGTAGCATGCTCGAATCAAGGCACAAGAAGCTTGGGAGCTGTGGAAAGCAACCTCCGTCGGCTACGGACTTGCCACTCCCGCCCCAAGGTTTTCCAATTGGAATTTAGAGTTCCGTGGCAGGTAGGGCAGGTAGGGCTTCCAGCTCTGAGGTTAACTTGAGATTCTTTTGCAGTTATGTTGATCTTGTCTGAGAAAGGGCTGCGCAGAGGTCCGGCCCGTGAAAGGCGGCTGGTGGATTTTTTTCAAGGAAATGAAGGCTCAATATCGTCTGGCCTTCTGAGTGGGACTTCATGTCGATGCCACATAAGGGCAGCCGAAGCCTCTACAACAGCTTTAGGATTTGGAATCGAGCCTGCATGCTGAGTGGCCTTGAGACGAATTCCCAGAGCGCTTTTCAAGGAAGCTCTTCGGCGGAGAGATCGACATCCGTGTCGTGCGCGGATGGAGGTAGGACGAAGCGGATTCAGGTTTCAGAAGTCATTGATCATCTCGGGTAAGACTCGCTTGGCGCACCTGTGGGTAACCGAAGTTGTGTTCGAGCTCACCGAAACCTCGCAAAGCCGTGACATGCCAAGTTCTCAACGGCCCTTGTGCCCTGCCCAGCAAATCCAAGCTGCCAGGATCGCCTACACGAAGAACAAAGCCGCCGTCCTCGACGCCGCCCGCAGCCGTGGACTGTCGGCTGCCGGCGGAGGCCCGTCGCCCCTCACACTGCGCTGTATGGTTTGTGTGCTACTCCAATATGCGCTGGTTGCTTCATAGCTGCTAAGCTAAACGCGAAAATTGCAGACGCTACGCATCTTTACTTGCAAGTTTTCGTGGATCTGATTTTTTTGCAGGTGTTTTGGAATTCGACTTCACAGGTGCTATATGGTACTGCTGATGGACAACGGCCGGAAGTAGTGCTAAGTAGTTACCAGCAATAGGTTCTGGCACAAGACAGTGTGGATCGTCCCTTTACTTACTTGCGCCGCCATGGCACCAGCTTCCTTCACAACATGTGCCATTATCCCCCACAGTGAGCGCTTGATTATCACTATGATCTTCTATCTAGATTGCCATTATGACGTCTTCATGCCGATTGCCATCTAGCCTTCTGGTGACATTGGACTTCATGCCGACTGATTTCGAGCATCTGCACCAGACCGTCAAATTAGGTCGATATATTCAGTTCCACCGTTACGATCTGACCAGCAGTGGAGGATGGACTCTCCCTGACCTTGAATCCTCGATTTGAACGCAAGTTTCCCACACTTATGTTGGAGGTTGTACGTTGGTCTTTTTTGTCATCCTACGCTTTATCGTCGCACCGTCGCGGGAGATGGGCGACTCCCTATGGTCCTATGCTCTGGGAGACGGTGGTTCCCAACAACACGCTGCAGACGGAAACCGCTGGAACATCCCAACAGACTGTCAGGACTGCAAGCGCGCCCGTCCGCACTTTGCAAAGACGCGCATTTCTGGACCACTAGCAATATGATTTGTTCTATGCTTCCCCACCTTGGACGACGACAACTTCAACTTATCATGCAACCGGTTGAATTATTCCACAATGCTGTCTCGGGGAGCCGACACGAGGCGAACCTGGGGACCACGGTCTTCCCATGCTGTATGCCAGTACCGATTGATTTATCAGGTGCTCCATCTTTTATCGGCGAGTGGTCGCGAATGCCCTTTGTGGGTCGGGTGAGCTTCATCATCGACTATAGCAGCCTCCTTTCATACTAAGCTTTCCCCACGGTGGCCGGAAATTTTACCCTAGTCCTGCCATCGTCTCACCCGAAAAAGGTAGCGAAGAACACTCGACATGCCTTCCCTGAACTTGTTTCCCATGCCGTATGCTTCCGCCGACTCTTTATGTTGTCCCCGCACCTTAGTCCCATTAAAAGGGCTGCTGACGACCGGTCTCACCTGTGGACACGCTCTTCGCATCGCGCGAGAGAGAGAGACTGTCCCAAAAGGAACTGGATGACCCCAGTGACGCTTTCGAGGTATTCTATGGTCATGAGTCATGGTGCTTAGAAGGGGTGTTGTTGGGGGGAGGGGATTCCAAGGCACACTGGGGGGAACAGATCTCCTTGCCCGAAAGGGGCCCATCAGACGCACCAGCACGGACCGTTGTGGGGTTGGCCTACGGGCCGGGGGCTTGCCCCAGACCCCTAGCAAGCAAGCCAGCAAGAGACAAAGAAAAAGAGAGTGAACAGCAATGGCAATGAGGAATAAGATGGGGCATTTATAAGGTAGCAGCAGACGGAATCATGTCGCGGCGTGGGTGTACTAAAGAGTCTTCATAGCTGGCAGGTATTTGTGCTATAGTGAACCCCAGAAAGTTGGAACACGGATTTAGGATGATTAGTGCAGGGATTCCGTATGTTTTACCTTTGTGATGCTCCAACTTTCTGGGTTCTACTCTCGTTCCTATTCAACCATCTCAGAGTACACCCCGCAGAACCCCTAGTTGAATTATAAAAGACGGTATATTAAGGAATTCCAGGCCTCGGAGACTCGGATTTCGTAGCATCCAGTTCACGTAGAGTCGCGGGAAAGATCGTGCGTTTGCAGCCCTCGGTGACCTTTCTAGGTCGAAATTTCGGATGTACTTCTTCTCTTGGAAGGTTCCAGGACCCAGAAGCTTTTGAAACGCCTTGGAAAAGTCGCAGAGCTGAGGGCTTCGTCAGGTTGGAATTGACAGTTTCAGAGGACCCCACCAAAGCCCATGGCAGGTGCCCCAGCCGCTGCCGATGTTCCAGAGGTTTCGTTCAACATGCCGGGACCCCAAGACGGGCCGAGAAACACCTACTGTAGTAGGGGCTTGAGGGTTTAAGAATGAGTATGGCATGGGTTTCGGCTTGAGAATAGATGGATGCACAGCTCTTTAGTGAAGTTTCAGCAGGGTTGTCCTCCGGAAATGCGTGGGAAATTAGATGACGTTTCACTGGGCACAGTGCTAGTGAAATGACGCTGTTAATGCGAACGCAGTCGCTTGACAGCAGCCTGGTTGTGAATATTAAGGACAGTCAGGATCCGGACTTTCTGGCTTCCTCACACAGGAAATGACAATAGAGGCAAAATCAGGGAATCCCAGGTCCAGCTGTCCTCATAAAACCCATCTTTGCCTTTTCACATCAACCAAAGGTTTGGGGGTTTCATTGTTGGCGGTGTTAGTGGCAATCAGGCCGCGCCGACGATTCGGAGAAAACGAGGGAACAATTAGTGGGTAGCTTATCGTGCTTGTATATACTCGAACATATGACATCATATAGTCATATGCATCATTTGATGCGGTAGTTAGCTACCTGGCCAGCTAGCAGACTGATAGAGAGATAGATGGGTGGACAGACAGAGACAGGGACAGGCAGGCAGCCAGCCAGCCATGGCAGAAAGGCAGACAGAAAGACAGATATATGATATATGTGTATGCATTTGTCTGTGTCTCTATATATATATATACACACACATACATGTATATGTATGTGTATATATCTAGATATCATATAGGTTGCTTATGTGTAGATCTAACCCCTAAACCGTGCACGTTCACCAGGGGCTCCGAGAGCAGTGCTGGCGGCAGCGGTTGGAGCCTGGATTATTTACAAGCACTGGGGTGCAGGACTCGGCTTTTAGCTTTCTGTGCATGCATGTCATGCCAGTAATCCGGCGAGAGTTGCACTTGAGATCAGTTGTTTCGTTTTGAGAACTGTTGTTGAACACATAGTCACGTGGCCCCTGAAGCTTCCTCGGGAGTTCAGGCTCGCAGTATCACTCCGCATACCTCAATGGAATTCCATGAGTCGCTGACACCCTCAACCCTACACCCCCAAACCCCAAACCCCTAAAACCCCACTCCTGTTCACCTGCCCCGTCCTCCCCACGGGCCCTCGAGGTTGCCGCTGGCGCTGGCGCAGGCTCCAGGAGCCGCCAAGGCAAGGTGGCAAAGAAATGAGGAGATTCGGGGGCCTTAGGAAGCCTTAGTAGGCTGTGCTTGTGTGGGCGATTCTATTGGCCGATCGAGATCGAACATGGGACCTGCGTTCGAGGATACAGTGGGGCGTATACGCCGAGTCTAATTGAGGGGTGCAGCGTGTTTGTGCCTATCTTTCGGGCCATGTGTTCCGGCCCAAAGGCCCTGGGGCCTGATGTGTCGGTCTGCAAGCGGGAGCTTCAGGCTTCGAGCTGGACCCTTTTGCTCTCTACGCCACAACCGAGCCTCAAAACCCTCCCCTGCAGTACACAAGAAAGCACTCTGCCCGACTTCTGGCTCTTCGTGCCCGGCAACACGAGGCGAAGCAGCTCAAGCAGCCCAACAACCGCAATGCGAAGGCGGAGAAGGTCACTGAGGGCTTACGCGGGTTGATGGGACGATTCTGCCCATGTGGATGTAGCTTGCAGCTCCTAGGTTCGGGGGGCAGGACCGGGATAAGAGTTGAGGGTGCCGGGTGCGAAGTTATCCTGAAAGCGTCGGCAACACCAGCCCTAAGTCCCATAAGCCTTGAAGAGACCCGTTGATTTGCGACGGAACCCTGTAACCGAACTGCAGAAGCTCCTCGAGGACCCGGCACTGACCAGTGCAGGGGGCTGCAACATCTTTACCAACTTCGCCCAGATCCCAGCGTGATGGGATACTCAGTTCCGGATACGTAGGCTTTGAGGTGTTGTTTGGCTCTTGTGGGTGGAGGGATTTGAGGGAGGATCAGGGAAACTGAACTTTCTGTTGCACGGACCAAACTGCTGAGCGGTGCTGTCTCTCCTGTGCTGCGACCATACAAGGTTCGTAGCGCCAGGCTTTTGGCAGTAGGCAAGTGGAAGGTTGGGGTTGGGCTAGCTCAGCCCAGAAGGATCAAGGTCGGATTTGTGCAGGGTAAGAGGTGTTGGCCCCACAGCTTAAGGGCATCATGCTATCGTGCCCCCCCCCCCCCAGCCCCGAACGACCTAGAATAGCTGGGCTGACTTCGAGATGTAGATCCAAACTGAATGAATAGTTTCAGCAGGCTCCATGCAGTCTTCAGTCCCTTGTTGAGACTATGAATAGTTAGCAGGTGTGTACCCATCTGCCAGACCTTCGAGTTGCCCTGCATCTGCCCAAAGTGTTTCATGCAGAGCTTCCAGGGACGGATGCTTGACAATAGGGACCTGTACCACCGCACCTCCCCGCCCGTTCTGTCGTTGTGGCGTATGCAGAATGCATGGATCCAGTATCGCTACCTTGTGGCCCCAGGTGCAGTATGGATTTTCAAGCCCTGAGATCGTCGTGTGTTCGGGGCCTGGAACTCTCCTCCGCAAAGCTGGACAAGGAAGAGCGCTAAACCTACAGACGTGTTTCGAGGTTTCGGTGTGAGGTGTAGTGTAGGACTAGTGTCGTTCTCAGATCGCAGCTGGGGCAAGTGCTTTGTGCACTTTGGATTGTACTTAGAGTATGCAGTATGTGAGTTACATGGTTACTAACTGCGAAATTGCATATGCAAGGTAGTCACGGGCAGGTGACAGGAAGGCACGTGCTTGATCATGGTCGAACCCTGCGAACGATGCACAAACCAACTGCACTTGTATCAGTTACAAGGCGACAACGCCATGCCGCCTTGGCGAGCAGTGAAGCCGGGGTGGCTCGTCGGAGCCCTTGAAAGTAGCACGTACCAAGACGGTTTGGAGCTGGCGGTTGCAAAGGGCTTACGGGGCGACGTGCGGCCATGTGGCAGTTAAAGCAAAGCTGAGGCTTTCGTTGTAGAGCTTTGAGAAATTAGTGTTGCCAGTGGCTCACTAGCGGTCACTAGCGCCAGAGTATTTGCAGTAGCTGAGTATCATCTTGTTTTGCGGGCGTAGCCAGTGCAGGGTGTTTGAGTTTGGTTTGCAGCTAGGGCTAGGACCGCCAGCCGCCAGCCATTCAATCCCCTGTTCAGCCTAGAACGCCTGCATGCTGGACGTTGGCTTTTGGACATTACAGAATGCGACAAAGGCGTGTGCTCGGAGAATCTTCTAGCTTCAGGCAGGTGCCAGGTCGAAGCGTCGTCTGCTTCTCGCTGATGAGCTGAACTCGGTCTGCCGGAAAGTTGAGACTGCCTCAACACGGCCAGCCAAACGCCGCGATGAAGCTTGTCGAAGCCTGCATCTCGACCAAGGACTTCATCATCACCGATCCGCCCTATGGCGTCCGCGCAGCGTCCTCAGACATCTAAGTCAGACAGCGATGATATGAGACGTGCTCATGTCTCATAGGCATCGGATCTTCTCGTCTCGTCGATCCGTCAGATCAGGAATGTCATGATAGGTTGAAAAAGGGCATAGGTGGCATTGCTGAAGTCTCCCCCTTCTCTAGGACAGCCCAAATACGCTGGATCCTATTCTGCCGTCCGGATCTCTTGCCACGATTTCATGGGAAATACCTGGCGGCCCCAGACAAGGCGGGCGCCAAGAAGTCGGGCCGCGATGAGGCGAAGAAGAAGGTGGTCATCCAGGCCGGGCCCCTTGTGCCGTTTTTTTTGGTCAAGGTCTCAGGCTTGGCGGCTTGAAGTTGCAGCCCGAAAAACTTGAACTGGCAAGATGAAGAAAAGTTTTGACCAATGTTGGCGCCCATTGAACAATTGTATGTGTTATATTTTGACAGATGTGACTTCAACTGGTGAATTGTTACAACATGATTCGCTGATATTCGTGTCTCCCGGCCAAGCGCTTGCAATGGTCCCGGCAGATACAATGTCAGAAAGCTATGTTTGCAAGCTCTCAACTGTCAACAACAGTTCTGAACGCCCGTGGCATTGAGTGTTTTTTTTATGGTTGACATGAAGATCAGACTGCCAGTCTCTGCTGCTGAAGCTCTCCATTCCCGAGCGCCGAAACCCTGAAACCAAGACTCTGAACAAAATAGAGCAGTAGCCCAAACAAAGTCCACCCCGGCCAAGTCTGATGTTCGGAAGTGCCCACAACCAAATGACTGCGGTCAAGATGCCCGCACGACAGTTGTTCGGTCCTCGTCGTCATGCTCACAATAGCATCATCCCGCTCCTTCCAACATCCATCCCGCTCACGTGCAGAATCCTTGGAGCGCGATTTGACCTAGGTCAGTCTCCAAAGAAAAGGGGGAAAGACTGAAGCTTCAGCTGGAGATCGAACTCAGTGTACTGGTTTCCCTTCGTACTGGAACGTGTTGCGATGCCCGGAGGACGTGAGCAGCTACATCCCCTCCAAAGTCTCCTACGGTGAGGACGAATTTTTGCCAGCGTCCCCCAAACAAGCCCTGGCGCCCCCAGTGGGCCAACGGTTACTGCACCCTGCTTTCAAAGCGATTTCATGGGCCGCAACTTGGCTTTGGGGTCCCGACAAGAACTGGGCTCCCAAGGCGTTTTGTCGGGTTACAAGATCCCTTCGGGCCGGGCCTTTGCCCTGGTCACCTGAGATCCGAACGACTGAGCGTGAGGGAGTTACGCTAAGCTGCACTGGTAACCTCACAGCACCGGAGGCCTCGATGGGATCGATCAGACTTCAGAACATCTCAACACGCCTCAGACGCCTTAGCTCACGAAGCTCTTAACCACACCGATCCATCGACAGATGCAGAAATCCAGGGCCAGTTCTGTATTCAAGGAGGAGCTTTCTGAAGATCTCCTGAACTTCGCATCCGCGAGCCTCGTGGATGGTGGAAAGCTGGTCTTTTTGGTGACCTCCTCGGAGATGGGGATAGGGTATGTGCTTTCGGGCTTGGCTGCAGTGACTGGAGCAATCAGGGTTCTTGCAGACCGCATGCCTTAGGGTGCCTTCTTCCTAGGTCCTCGGTCTTGGGGCCCAGCGTAGACCTTCAAGCCCGAAGCTCTTGAATGGTGGGATAGGTTTTAATGTCCCCTTGTGGTGCTGTAGCGGCCTGCTCCCCCGGCCCTCAAACAGATCCTATATTGCCCTAGTGGGTTTAGAGTTTTGGGGTTTCCTACATGGTGGGAATAGGACTTCTGAATAGGGCACCTCTAGGCCCCAGGCGTAAGGAAGCCTCGAGCTGTCGATGTTCAGGTGCCCGTGGATCTAGCGGACTTCCTTGGCATCGACCGGGCGGCAGTCGAGCATCTAGGTCAAGTTTTTGGTTTAGGTGTTTTTGGTTTACAAGGGTTTGCCTTATTTGGTTTAGGGTTCAGGGTTTGAGATTGCTACATTTGTGTTTGGTATAGTTGGTGTAAAGATAGGTACGGTCTGCATGCTGGCTTCATCCGTAGCCGACAAAACTGGTTTTCCTGCAGCTGTCTTGCGCATTGGCATAGGAGCTCCAGTGAAACTCGAATCCGATCGAGACCAAACTCAGTCCCGCATTGTCATGTCCAACGTGTCTTAGTGAGCCAAATCCGTCATGGAAACCTGCACACATCCCAGGCAGGACATCGAAGGCGCGAGGTGCGCAGGGATTTGGGAATGCCCACCGCAGGGATGGAGTCCACAGCTGTGCACCAGATCGCTTGTTACATACAAGTAGATCTATGCAAGATGCGCGAATCACGTCCCGATCCCCACCCAGCAACTCCCCTGCGGGAGGCCCAACTTCCACGACATTTGCCACCCCAAAGCTGGGCGGAAGAAGGATCCGAGGCTCGCAGAACGGTCCGGAGGTCGATTGATTCATTGCAGGCAGAGCGCAAGACGTTCTGGGGTGTGCCTTCTGTTAATGTGGGCTGGCTAAACGGCCGCAGGCCGCAATGCTGCGATTTTGCGGTTTGGATTAACCACGCTGGTCCGGGTATAGGTCTAGTGAGAACAGCAGCATGCAAGAAACAGTTGCCGGGGGTCATGGGAGCATTCAACGAAGGGTGATAGGCTCCTGTCTGTTAGCCGCCATACGCTTTGGCAGTGCGCCTGGTTCTTGAACCATATGTATCTTTCACTTAAACAGGTTGGCGTCGTTCATTTTTTCTCCCCTGCCCGTCCTCTATTAAACAAAAACATGAAAGACAACCCTAAGACTCGCAAGATCAGAGGCTGTGCGTGTCGGAGACGACACGCGACCCGCTGCTGCTGGATGAGAGCCGCACCCTGTCTCAGAGCTCTTGACTTGAAGCATCCTTTGCCCCTACTCTGTCCCTCTCTCGTTCTGTAAGAGAGCTTCTCTGTCTTGGGGGTTGGGGGGTTCGGCTCCAAGTCTACGAAGGAACATTGGTTCTGTCTGCTTGGATCTGCCCCTTCTGTAGGGGGTCGTCCACGATTGGAAAGGGTCTGAGCATCGATGTGCCAACAGCATCTTTTGTGTACACCGGTTGAATGGGAGCGTTTCTGCTCACACGTCAGCGCCCCAATAAGGGGTACCTGGTTCAAGGGTCCTTGTGAATCAGCATCCTACGCGTTGTAGGTCTTTTTCATTGTCTCAACTCCCATATAGCCTTATACTACCTGATATCAGCAAATTCGCTCAGTCAAAAACAACCGTGAGTAGCAGTAATAAGTCATAACGGTCCAACGGTCACAAGCAAACATAGTAATCATGCCTGCTGAGAAAGGCTACGTTGACTTCATTCCTCAGCACGTCGCATTTCGGCCCGGCGACCAAGCGTCAGTCCAACAGTCCGAGAACTGCTGAAAAGCCTGGTGAGCCCAACTGACCCCTTAATTGCATAAGGTACACTGAGCATACTTTCCGTCAAAGCTGCTCCTTCAACCAACCTGCTATGCAGATGTTGAATCCATCATATTTCACCCACGCATGAAGATCAAGGGCCCAAAGCTCAAGATGTAGAGCCTAACAGCCAGCCGGTGTGCACCCCATGCCCTTGCCCGCCATACCTTACGACCGTGGCAGAGCCCAAATGAAAGTATGACAGAAAATTCTGTCGCCAGCAACCTGGCACAGAAAAAAAGATCATTAGCAAGTTAGACAGCAGCTGCTGGAAGCAGCCGAATCAACACAGGCAAGCAGGCACTGCACAATATGCTGCCAAGCCTGAAACGAAGTCTTGAAAGCGTATGACGCATGCATGCGCACGTGCTTTTGTGTGCCCAAGTACGCAAGTGATGGGTTTCTACTATGTAGATGGACATGTAGTTGGATGCATGGGGTTTCTGAGGCAAAGCTAGACACCTGCATGCATGGATGTGTAGGTGTGATGAGAGTCGAGCGGGGGTACATCTGCGTGAATATGTTATGTACATACAAACAGACACACGCACACACACACACACATACATATATATATATGTACAGTGCTTAGTTATTGTCAATACTGTTGATGATCGAAATCCTGCATTACCTTAAGGACCGTAAACTATGGGAATTATGGTATATTCCTTATAATGGGTCATGCAGGGTTTATATCATCAACCGTATTGTTGTATCATTTGCTTATTTTGTTTGTTTACTTGTGTGATTAATAAGTGCCCCGCTTCTCTTCAATGCAGCCATGTCCATGGGTAGGACATGTCTTTTGTTAGACAGGGATTTGTATGTGATAGTGCTTCTGCTAGACAGACAGAGGTTTCTGCCAGATAACGGCTTCGAGAGTTCTCGTGTACTTGTTGGTTGCCAACATGCACTTGTGGTGTCAAAACCCTCCGGGGGGGGGGGGGCGCTTGAACTCAAAAGTATTACTATAGCGACTTGTAGAATTATTTGTTGTTTTTCTGCTTACCTCTTTATTCATGTATTTGTTCGTTTGTATGCAAAGGTATGAGACTATTCAGGCAGGAAATATGCACGCACACATGTGTACACGCAGATAATCATGAACGTTGCGTAAACTCAGGCTAGATGGGCATGCAGACATCATTACATGTGAACATACATCTGCGTTTAAATATGGGTATAAACGTTGACGCAACATACACATGTGGATGTGTCCTTGCACACGTTCGTGTATGTGTATGCATTCATGCGTACTTATTTAATATTTATGTATATCTATGTATGTTCTGCTGACACCCACCGAACCAGCAGAACCAGCTGCAGCATGATGAGTCCTTGTTGTTGAGGCTTTTGGGCGCCTCGCTGCAAGTGCTGAGTGGTGGACTGGGCCGCTTGCTGGTCACGATGCCTCCCGGCTGCAAGGGTGTTGCAAGACGCTCTAGGGTTGAGGGGCAAGAGAAAGTGCTGGATCCCTGGCCAGGGCTCGACCCAACCTCTGCATGCAGAGCTCAGGCAGCGTCTGCCCCGGTAGTTGGCCAGCTGTGTGCCACTTGGCGAAAGCTCGTGGCAGGAACCACAATGTGTATCGAAGGCAACTTCTCGTCGGTTGGGACTTGCACGTGTGGACCTCTAGTCATGACAAGCTAGAGGACCTTTAGACGACTCTCCCTCGATGCCGTGGAGGGCTTTTCAGAAGGCTTTCGGATGAACACCGAGTTTGTCAGTAGGTGGTACCCGGAACACAAAACGGCTTGGTTTGTTGCTGGCTATCATTGAACACTTGCGTTGGGTTAGGGTAATTTGCACCCTGCACCTTAAACCGAAACCATAAGTTGAACCATACCTACTATTATATATGTATATATATATACATATATATATAGAGTACATATTACATATTATATATCAAGCAGTGGTAGCTACTCAACCCCCGGCCCCCAGCTGCGCCGGCAATCATCTGGCAAAAGCAGTCAGACACGAGCCCGGGTCCAGTACTACAGTATACGGGTGTTTTCGCGAGCGAAGTCAAGTTGTTTGCATATCTGGCTCTGAAGTTTCTGCTTGATGTTAGGGTGCCGTTTCCTGGTTGTCCGGATGGCTCCCTAAACCGGACCTGAAGCTTTAACCTGAGGCTCGCTTGCTGTGCTGGCTCTCCTTGGACAGTCCCGGGCCCTTCAAGGCCAAACACGGGTGGAAAGCAACGTGCTGCAGTCCTTGCAAGACCCGTTCCTATCGAAACCGCTCAGAGAGACTTGAAAACGCACAGGCCACCTCGCTGTTCGATGCACTCCTCCATGGATTCAGACTATGCTCTCCAATAGTGTGTCACTTTAAACTGGTCAGGACCCAAACCGCACAGGACCCCACTGCCCCGTATTTTACAGGACCCTTTAACAGTGCTCACCCCCGAGCCCTAAACCTCCCAGCAGTGCGCGCAGGTCCAGCTCCTCTGTGCCTCCTCTCAGCCAGCACGGCTCGACTTGGCGACACGATTCTCCTGGCGTTTCCGGGGTCGGAGCTTCAGCATCTGGCAAGGCTGCTCGTAAGCAGTTGTGACTTGTACGTTTCGTTTGCAAGAGGTTCAGGCTGCAGATTGGAGGGCCTAAAGGTTTGCACGCATGTGCTTTGCTAATCCACCGACAAGTGCCCGGAATCTGCCCTTGCTGTTGAAAATCGTTGCTTCCATACATCCTGCATCTGCCATTCTGGCCGACTGGACTCCCCTGCAAACTCTAAGTCAGCACCCCTTAAACCCTGAAATTCAGCACTCCGACTCCTGACCTGAAATACGGGATGGCTCCGCTTTGTCGCAGGAGCCTAGCGAAGTCATGATGGAGCTCCGGGCAACCCCAAACCCCTAAACCCCCAAACCCCTAAACCCCTAAATCCCCGAACCCCTAAACCCTAAACGCCTCAACCCCTGAACCCCTAAACCCTAACCCCCTTTCAGTCTCGTCTCGGCTAGGCCTGTCTTGCTCGGCGGCCTGGAGCCTGGAGCTGGCGACGGCTTCGAGGATCGCCGGTTGAACCCCTTTGGGGTAGTCCTCGAAAGCTAGGGTCCCATTTTGGGGTCCCTTTCACCAAGCATGCCGGACTATATTGGGGGGCCTAAAAAGGGACCCTAATTTAGAAAACTACCCATATGGGTAGTTCTCTAAAATTCGGGCCCCTTTTTGGGTCCCCAATGTAGTACGGCACCCTTATAAAAAGGACCCTAAAAGGGACCCAAGTTTAGAGAACTACCCATATCTAAGTCTAACCTGACCCTGTCCACCCTGTCCGCTTGGACGACGTTCGAGCCGTAGGCTAAGTCTGAGCAGGGCTCAGCTTGTCCTCAAGTGGGGGATTATCGTGTATGGCTTCTGCCTACGGCAGACAGCACACGGCTTCGGACTACAGGTCAGAGCAGGTGAGCATGCATCGCCATAGCTTACAACGAACACATACAAAACACGGAATGTAGCAATACATGGGACGGTGTATACTGCCATAGCAACGGCCCACACTATCGCAACACACACAGACACAGAGACACCCAAGTGTGCACACGGTATGCTTCTCAGATAGAAATCGAGTTTTCGCGTCTTTCAGAACCGTCGCCTCGTCACCGGCGCTGATCCACTGCATGCTCACATTGTACTTATGCGGAGCCTCCACTATCCCCGCTGCAAGCAGGACAGCCCTCCCGGTCAAGTGAGCGACGTCGATGCAGTTCCCGTCCGGCCTGGAGCCACCGTGCGAAAAGAACGCTGCACAGCTCCCGAGGCGTCACCGCAGATAGAAAAAAGTATCGAAGCGGCGTGTCTGACTCCAGACTCTTCCGCTTAGGGCTGGTGCCCTTAGGTGTGCAATTGCAGCTTGATTCGCACGTGGCTCAAGATCCGAATTTACATCATCATGATTCTGTCATAAGCTGAAGTTGTAAGGTCGCTTGGGTTGTTTCTGCTGGCACAGCTCCGGGTAAGACTGGCCCCACGCCGAACCGTCGGATTCAATCCCCGAGTTGAGAGAGGCCGCAAGCAGCATGTTGCAAAAACAGACACACAGCAGCTCAACGACCAAGCGGGCGTCTGTGTGCGCAACAAGCAGCATTTCCACCTGTAATGCTGGGTAGGCGAGTGCACGTCAGACGTCCCTGCGTTGCAAGGGCGTTTGCCCTCTTTTGCACCTTTCTTTGCGTCCAGTCTGAATGCCTTCCGGGCGACTGCTATAGCCATGGCTGTGCCCGGAGAAATCGAGCACTCGCTGGACCAGTGCCTTGATCTCTTTTCGATATGGCCTCGCTTAAGGTTACAGGTGTGGGCCAGAAGTTGGGTACGTTTGAAGATCTGTCGTTTCTGGGTGAGCCCTGCAAGTCAATGTTGGCGCCCGATGCTGGGGCGAACCCATTCCGGTCTCCAAGCGGGCTTCGAAACCTGAGCGCTTCTGAAGTTCTTTCTTGCACAGCCACTGAGACTTTTGGCTCAGGTGCTTGGAGGCCGGGGCCTTGGCACGAGTGTTCGCGAGAGGTAGTAACAGGTACATGGACTATGAGTCGCTTGATGAGTCGTTCCATGGGACTTACTGTAAACGCTTCGCATCGTCCGCCTCGGCCCGGTCGCCGGTGAAAGCAGTCTCCACATCAGGGCCCAATTAGCAGGTTCAGAGTGCACAAGACGGGGGACTCGGTGGCACTCGAAGCTGGGGGTGGGTCACCGGGGAGGGGGTTAAGAGGAGCGGTTCCCGGAAAGAAAGAAGGAACCTCGGCGAATTTGAGAATGGTGCTTTCTGCTGCTTCTAGTGCCACATGCCAAAAGTAGATGGCAATAGACCATGTTCAGAGAGCGACACATTGCAAACATGAGGGAGAGAGAGTCGAGAACCAAGCGATCTTTCTTCCATGAAACAATCTACATCGTTCGAGGGACTCCTTCAGATGAAGTGGAGCGAAGCGCCTCTGTGCTTGGAGGTTGTATCGCAGGAGCATCAAAAGTTCCAGCTTCTGAACGAGAAGCATGTTGTGCTCGAATGATTACAATGCTTGAGCAGCACTGGTCCCCCAGAACCGGCCCGGTTGCGCGATGTGAGACACAGCCTTGAGTCTTGTACCGCAATCGTTCACTTGCAGTGTAGTGTCGTCGTCCGACACCTGTGTTAGCCCAGGATTTGAAGCACCACTTCTCGTCTCTACGGCAGGAGATGGATGCCTTGAAGGACGGAATTCGTTCTCCGGAAGCTTTCCCCATAAAAAGCCCGGCTCAGCTTGATTCCCTTTGCCGGCCAAGTGTCAGTGTCCTTCCCAGCGCCCAGCTCCCTTAGACCCTGGGCCCTGCCACAGCCTAGGGCCTAGCTCATCCTTGCGAAAGTGCGGAAGTACCCATAGCTTGGCTGACACCCAACTTACCCGTAGTTCCCCAACACCCAACCTTTAAACTTTTATTTCTCTGGCTTATTGGGGAAGCAAGTAATTACCTTGTTGCCCTTTCAGATCCCCTCTGTCAGGCCGACAATGAGGCGCTGAAGCAGAGCAGCCGGCCTCCGAAGGGGAAGGCAGGGAGGGAGGTCTCCTTGGAAGATCCGCCCTCAACGGCCAAGCTCTGTTTTGAAGGGCGATGTAATTTTTGGAGAACATCGCTAATGGAGGGCGCTTAGTCGGGGCATCATTCATTCAAACATGACCCCCGAAGGGTGAGCTAATTGAAAGACCCACAGATATTCGGCTGGAAACATGTTGGTGATTTCGGCTTGTTGGATGCGGCCTCTGCCTGACATGCTCTGGAAGCCAAAGAACCCAAGCACAAGCCTGCGTCCTCGATGCCTTAGGCTTAGCTGCTAAACCGCGCTCATCAGCAGCAGTCGCTTTACTTCATAGCCGTAGCGCATAATCAAACTGAGCTGTAGCAATGACAGAACAAGAAGAAGCACAGAAAGAGCAAAAATATTAGTATGGACTAGCTGCAAACATTTCAATGGTCGCAAAAAAAATAAAAGCAATCATAACAACAATGTATGACACTTCCGAAGGCCAACGACACCAACAAGCTCGAGCAGCTCGAGCTCGAAAACGAGGCTGCCGAGCGCATGCAAACTCAGTGCGTGGGACTTTCTTGTTTTCTTAGAGGGTTCGTTTAATAAGGAATTGTAGGCTCTGTGGTTCGGGGTTTCGGTTGTCGGGTTTAGGGTTTCCGAGCCAGCTTTCAAGATCCCAGAAGTGCGAATTCATTCGGCTTGCGACCTTTTTGAGGCTCGATCTTTTGGAATCAAACCTGAAGGTTGACGCACTGTCGAGGGTTCGAGCGCAGGAGTTTCTTAAGAGCTCTTCCTGCGGCCCCCTTTTGTTCATGGGCCCCTCACATCTTTGCTCCGTGGTTGCACATCCAGCTGCGGGCTAGCTTTGGAGAGGTGCTGAATGAGCAAATCAACGAGC